CCCTTTTTTCTTTCTTTAAATCTTGAGCACATGTCAGAGTTTACCAATCTGCCAGCAAGGAAGCCAGGCAAGGGACTAAAGAGTGTGCCAGTTCACAGGGGAACGGGATGGCAGGGAGTGTCAGGAGCTGAGAAGGGAACGCTGACATGGCAGCTGGGTAGAAGAGGCAGGCAGCTAATTAGGTAAACACCGCAGCAGCTCCATGTGGTCACGAAACATTGTATTCATGACAGCTGAGGAAATCAGGGACAAGGTAGCTGGGAGCACCGAGCAGGAATCAAAAACAGAAAACAACCAATAAAAAGCAAATGATGTGGAAACATCTATGGCTGTTAATGGGGATGACAAGGTTCGCTGCTCTAAGAAGTGACGAAGCGTAGTTCAATTGAGTTTTTAAACTCATTAGTAATATTTTTCACTTTCAGAAATAAAAATGGTTCCTGTGGGTCTTTTTCAAATTTGCTTTTCTTTTTCCAAAAGTCCTGTTTGTTCAATTTGGTCTGCATTCTGTTTTTTATATATTTTAATTAATTAATTTTAAAACGCCTCTTTCTAGTCTCTTTCACAGTTTCACGATTATCTCTAGTTCCCTGGGTATGAATTCTTACAGGTGTTACATTTGCCAGCTCTCCCTCATGGTGCTTCTTTCCTTTGTGTGGTTGGGAGACAATATAAGTAAAATCCATAGAATTCTGAGTGGAAAAGATTATGATCAACTGAATCATCAAGTTGTCTTTTTTGTATAAAGGCAACAATTATTATGAGATAGCAAAGGACTCGGAAAATACACCATCCACGTACCCTTTTGCTTTTCTCTAAAAAATTTTTTTTCTTCTATTCTTTTTATCAAGCAATTCCCAAGAATATGTGCCCTTATTTTTAAAAATTACATAAAATTACATATCAGCTAATTATAAATCTGGAATAAATCAAAAGCGATAAAAGCCTACAAGAAAAGAGGGAATAGAAACACTAATGTTTATTTTTCTTTTCTAGGGATCCATTCTGAGGATATAATCCACAATGTAGGCAAAGAGCTACGCAGTTATCAATAAGAAAAAAAATGGAAACAACTTAAATGTCCTAAATTAGGAGAATATCCATATGATAGAAGATCACTGAGAATGTTCACAAAGAGTGCTTGATTACACTGGGAAATACTTACGACATGATGTTAATTGTAAAACATAGGTTCAAAGAAAAGAGTCACAGAAAAAATATTGGAAGTAAATATGCCAAAATGCTAACAGTGATTGTCTCTTGATTGTAAGATTAAGGTGTGTATTTCTTTATGCTTTTCTATACATTGTAAATGCTCCTCAGTGATTCACACTAATTTGATAATAGGAAAAGATTAAAATGTACATAATATTTTTGAAAAATGAAAATTTCTAAGGGTAACAGACAAAAACTTAGATATTGAGGCAATATTGCATAAGAAAAATAAAATACGTGTACTGTGCTACTGACTCTGACATTATAGTGTACAATTTATTTTCAATGCAGCAGCAAGAGTATCCTTTAAAAGGGCAGAGCAGGGGCGGTCAGATCATGTCTCTCCTCTACTCAACACTCTCCAAGGGCTCCCCACTTCACTGAGAATAAAAGCCAAAGTCCTTACGATGGTTTACAAGGACCAACACGATCTGACCCTCCACCTCATCTCTGACCACTTCTCCCCAGTCCTGACTTTGCTCCAGTCCCAATGGTCTCCTTGCTGTTCCTCTGAACCCACCAAGCACGCACCTGCCTCAGGGCCTTTGCACCTGCTGTACCCTCTACTTGGAATGCTTTCCCTCCGCATAGCCACATACTGTGCTTCAGATCTCTGCCCAAATGTCATTTTATCAGTAACCCCTCCCTGACCCCCATATAAAATAGCAACTACCGCACTGTTTCCAGTGCCCCTTCTCACCTTTGCCCTGAGTACTTTACCATCTGTGACATTGCAGAATTTACCGTTTGTGGTCTCCTCCCACTAGAAGAGTGGTTTTGCCTGGCTCAATAAATGTGTCGAGTGACTGAATGAATGAATGGATTAGACTGTAAACTGCTCAGGAGCAGAGGGGCCGAGGCTCACACTGCTGCACCGCGAAGTGCATAAAGCAGCAGCAATGCCAACCCGACAGCCCCGGGAACATTTGACCAGCACTTGACTCACTGCAGAAAAAAATACTTAAAATTACAGCCGGAGACGGTGGAAGTGAAGCCCCACAAGGAAGGGAAGGGAAGGGTTCTGGGAAGAGTTGTGTAAGAGTTTCCATCAGAAAACCCAAGTTCTTCTGTTTGGATTTGACTTGTGCTACAGGACAGAACTCCAAATTTTTGTCACAGACTTAGAACCAGCCATACGCGGCACTTAAAATCAGACATTTTAAATGCCCTCTCTATTTAGCTTTCTCTTTATTATGCTTAGATATTTTTCTAAAAAAATAAGGCATTAGGAAATCAATTACCCCGACCCTCTCCAACCCCAAAAGCAGACAGGAAAATCCAGCACACGGGTCTGATCTCCACAGGCACCCAGACTCATATCCCATGTGTGTGCTAATGACCCCACCCGATGAAATGTACACTGTATGCCTGGGGCTGCAGAGAGGAAACGTTCCTGATCTTGCTAAGCTTTACTGGCCTCTAAAAATGCAAGGACAAATTGATAGCGTGATGCACTGCCTCATGGACTTTGCCTTAGGAAAGATAAGAAAATTCATCCTAAGCTATTTTGGACTTTTCTGGGCACTGGGGTGCTCTGGAGATGAGGATGGGCTGGTGGTAGGCCCTCTCTGCACGTGGTCGCTCAGGACTGTGAAAGAGTGTGACAGTGACTCGTGGTGAGGCTGGATGGGGCAGCAGCCTCAGAAGCCCTCCACTAAATTGTTGGGTTTGCTAAATTCATCTTTCCTTCCATCCACCTTCTTTCCCTTGACAGCTCCTTCATCTCTGCCCTCCCACGGCTCAGCTGTGACCATCATTTCATCCTGCTAAGGTGTCTCCCTACAAGATAATGGTTTAAGGGATTTCCTACCTGCATCTTAAAAGGAGTCCCCTGAAGACCAGAAGGACCTTGAGTTCCAAGGGGGAATTTCTGGTGGGGGAGGAAGGGACGTCTCTAATGTTTATGGAGTACTACTCTATGGCAGACATTTTGCTGGATTCTTGCAGCAACTCCATGAAGCGGGTATTAGCGTGTCCATTTCAGGATGAGGAATCAGGGACTTCCAGGCAAGACGGAATGCTAGTTCACACTTTGAAGCCCTGCCTGTTCCAAAGACACAGCAGTGATAGACAAAAATATTTTTAAAACAATAATAAGTAAACATATCTGTATTCAAAAATAAGATGTGCATCTCAATAGATCAGAAACTGAAAATATTATTTTGAGGGGCTGAAGGCACAGTCCACTGAGATCTGGGCCCAGACACAGGTGGAGGCAGCTGTGAGTTCCATGTTTCGGGACTAAATGTGTCCCATGGAGGTGGGGGATCAGAGCCAGAGTCACTAAAAATGGGGCTGGTGGGGGCATTTCCTACCTGGGAAAGGAGGCTGAAAAATGCAGGGACCTGCCCCAAGACAAGTGGGCACAGAGGAAAGCTGGCAGCACACACCTGGGGCTGCCACAGCTGGGACAGCTGGCTCTGGGAAGAATCCCATTATCACTGTGGACAAGCAGCTCACCAAGAACCCAGGACACTTGGCTCTACCCTGCGGGACCCAAGACCCTGGTGGAGAAGCCACAAAACCATTCAGCAAGGAGAGCTGGGTGGGAGGGAAAGAGAGAGAAACCGACTCGCACTCAAGATAAGCATACAAACCAAAATTCTAAAACACCTGAGGAAAACTAATGCTGAGAAAGACAACCAACAAAACGAGCAAGCAGGGGATAGTCTCGAAGAAAGACCAGTGAATTGGAAGGCGGTACTGAAGAACTTACCCAGAAAGTATCACAGAAAGATGAAGAAATAAACAAGGAAGAGCAGCTAGGAGCAATGGAGGATGGATGGACAGGCTCTCAAATGTATCCTGTGACATTTCCAGAGAGGAGAGATGGAATAGCAGAATAACAATGTTCAAGGAGATCACAGCTGAGAATTTCCCAGAACTGAAGATGTTTAATGGATCCCAAGATTAAAAGCACATACCAAGTGCCAAGCAAGATAAAAAATAAATAAAATAAACTCATATGTGGAAAGCCGTGGACAGGAGGGGCATGGCCCTTGTTCTGTCCCCACCCTGCCTGCCCATGGCCCTCCCCAGATGCTGCCGGCTACGTCCTGCTCTGGCTGGCTCCATTTCTATCCTGTGCAGTGAGGAAAGCCCTGGGCTGGGGGTTAGGAGACCCAGTCTAGCCTCCTGTCTGTTACTGAGTCTTGATTTCCCCCCCTAAGACGGAGTCAGAACTAGAATTACATAACTTTAGCGCCAGAAGGGACCTTGGGAGTGGCATCGTGACAGCAGCCCATGGCTGTATTTGATTTCCACCTTCCCCACCTGCTCAGTGCCCTCTTGTGCCTCCATTTCCCCGTCGGGAAAAGGGGATGAGAACAGCACCCACCATGTGGTTGCGTGAGGACATGAACGGACACACGTAAGGAACCTGGCGCAGTGCCACGCACATAGTAAATATTCAGCCTGCAGGTGCCATGACTATTACTCAGATAGTAGCCCCCCACCAAATGCCACATGCTCAGACACTTGTAGTGTGAGGGGCTACCCAACGAAACCACAGACCCCCAGGTATAGAACCAGGGCCCCACCACCTCTGCACAGGGGAAATGGGCAAGCCGGCAGGTTGTCCCTCCCACTTGTCCCCTGGACAACTATGGGCAGTCCCTCTTTGCCTTCCAGGGAAGCCCCTCCCAGCAACCAACCATCCATTCCCCTGTGCAAGAGTGAGCCCCCAGCCCCAGCCCTGGCCCAGCCCTGGCCCAGCCCCAGCCTCGCCCAGCCCTGGCCCAGCCCCAGCCTCCCCCACTCCCTACCCGGGCGCCCTGGGGCCCTACCTCTCTTTGCTCACTGCAGATCTTACACAGCCACAGGGGCCGCTTCTGGCCAGGGGAGGCCTCGATCCCACATTTGGTGCAGACTTTCTACGAGAGAGAGGACACAGGTGCATAAGTGCTTTAGCCGCTTCCTCCTGGGCTGAGGGCTGGGACAGGTGTAACCACAGGACACTTTGGCATCTTCCAAGGGGATGGCTTTTGCTTCAGGCTAGAAGGCTAGATCACTCAAAAGGCAGAGATAATCTGAAATCCTTACTTGGCTTTGGGGGCACGGTGGATGTGCCCCACCATGGATCATGATATAGATCTACCCCCCTGCCCCATAATAATGTTCTGTTAGGACCTCAGCAAAAAAAATAAGCTTTCTGACATTCACAGCTGCGTCATTTTCAACAGCAAAGAACTTGAAACAACCCAAACGCCCAATACCAGGGGAAGATCCAGGCAGACACCACAGAATGTGATATGGCCTTAACACGGCAGATTGGGGGCAGGAAATAGTCACTTAACAAAGAAAGCTTACGTTTGTATATAATCATGCGAAAGACTCACGTATGTGCCCAACAGGTTAGAAGATGCCACGGTGAGAAATACTAGTGACACCCTCAGCACTTTCTTTATGCCAAGTCCCTTCATTTAACGACCCCAGCGCTCCTATTACAAAAGCGTTAGGTCCATCTTACAGGTCAGGAGTCCGGCTTGAGGAATTTGAGAATTTGCCCGAGTTCACCCAGCAAGTAAGTGCTGGATTCAGGTCTGACTCTAGAGCCATAATATCATTTCCTCTGGACACATAAAGAGCCAGAACCTAGACTCTACAGTGTTTTTCCTTCTACAGAGTTGTTGAGGCTCATAACTTTTAAATACACAGTTTGCTTCCCCTAAGTGCAAAGCAACAAGCAGCAGTGGAAAAGCCCAGAAGAAACACGCTGGGAGGGAGGCAGAGGTGGATTTGTTGGGGCTGAGAGTGGTTCCCAGCTAACCCAGGCAGAGTCTGATTCAGCGACAGCATCTCCTCCTCAGAGGATTGTCACACCAGCTAATCAATCTTCCTGCCACATGGAAGCTGCCTGGTCCCTGTGGGGGTGGGGGCTCTCTCCAACCCCCCTCCGAGGGAAGGCTGGATCTGTTGTTTGGCCTTTTCTGCAGGCTGCCAACTGAGCAATGAGCACACCTCTCCACAGAGAGTGAAATGTCACCAACTTGGCTTCCCAGAGCATGTCGTCACCCGCCCGATTGGGTGGCTGAGCCCAGTGCTGCAGGAGGGAGCTATGATACTTTCCTGGTGGTACAGATTTGCTACATCTAACACTCAGGGATGAGAAATATCTCTTCTCTTATTTTTCCAAATAAAATGTAATCTGCTCCAAGCACTCGTCCCTCTGGGTTGGCAGGAAAATCTGTTCCAGGTCCGGGTCATGATTAGGGTCCCTCCCCAGCTCTCATGAAGGTCCCAGGTTCAGGGCCTTTGGTGGTCCAGTACATCTGGGGAGGGTCCACTGGGTGCCATCCATGATGTCTGCATCTGTGCTGCTGGCTAAGCTCTCACGGTGCCTTAAAAGGGGTGGGAGAACGTGGCCAGTTCTGTGCCAGTCTTGGGTTTGGGAACTTTGCAGGGCTGGGTTGAGCCCCTCCAGGGACCAGCAGTCTGTCTCCCCAGAGCCCGAAGCCTCCAGCCCTGATGCAGTCTGGAGATCCTCCCCTTTCCCACCCCTTCCACCTCTCACCCCAATCCTCCTACTTCTAAGACAGGGACCCCCATAAGTCCACAAGGGGGTCTCAAGAAACAACATGGGCCCTTCCTCCCTGGGTGAAGGAGAGAGGAAGGAGGCGCTGAAGCCAGTTGGCTTTGTTTTCCTTGTTAATTCCCACTACTCCCAGTATGTGTGAGGCATGTGTGGAAACAAGTGTGGCCCCCTCAGACAGGTGAGGTTTTTCACACTTACAGGGTTTGGTGACAGCTCACCTTACAAACACACAGAGTGCTCTGCCCTTCCCAGGGCTGTTGAATGAGAGGGTGGTGCTGGGAATCAGGAGGGAATAAAACACCAATGGCCACTTTTATTGAGCAATTATGTGTGCCAGGTACTGCAGCCTGGCAACAAAGTGTGAAGGAGGTTGGATGCTATGATCCCCATTACACAGATGAAGAAACAGAGGCTCAGAGATGCTACAAACTACCCGAGGTCACACAGCTGTTTAGTGATAAAGCATGATCTTTGTCCAGACCCTTATCGGGAGAGCCAATCAAGCCTTCCCCTGCCCAGGTGCTGGGCCGGTGCCCACAGCTCTCTAGGGAGCTGGTTCTGCTCAGCTGGGTCCCTAAGATGTGTCCGATGGTTCCCAAATGAATGGGCAGAGAAGGCGACACAGGATGACCTTGGGACCAGGCTTTGCTGGGGATATGAGTGCAGCCAGCCCACTGCACCCCCCGACACTGGTTCTAGGAGCAATTCAGGCTGGGGAGTCTCACAGTTCTGGAGGCCTGAAGTCCAGGTCAAGGTGTCAGCATGTTGTGTTCTGGTAAGGGCTCTCTTCCTGGTTTACAGATGGCAGCCTCCTCACTGTGTGCTCACATGGTGGAGAGAGAGAGGACTCTGGTCTCTTCCTCTTCTTATAAGGGCACCAATCCCATCATGGGGGCTCCACCCTCGTGACCTCGTCTGAATCTAATTACCTCCCCAAGGCCCCACCTCCAAATACCATTGGGGGTGCAAGTGTCAACATATGGATTTGGGAGAGGATACAAACAGTCAGTGCATAGCAGCCTCCCACCAGGACTGGGCCCCTCGTTCTGCTTTGCACATTGGGAGCCCTAGAAATGGGTGCATCATCATTTGGAGTCACTTAGAACCCTCAGTCCTCCTGTGGGGACTCCACCTCACGCTGTTCCGTACTCTGTCACCAATTTTATGCTCCTGGAACACCGCTCTCAGCTCTTTCAGAGGCAGTGCGGCATGGTGCTAGTGCATAGGCTTTGGGTGAGGCAGGTCTGGGTGGGTCCTTGGGCAAGTTGCTAAAAGGCTCTCTAAGCCTCGAGTGTTCTCTTCTGTAAAATGGGACAATAATATTTATCTACTAGGGTTGTTCTGAGGATTAACTGTGATACACATAAAAAGCAATAGCACATTATGAACACTCAAAAATGCCAGTCACTTATTACCAGTGACACCCCCTAGAGTCCTATTCTGAAACCTGGCGTGATTCTCTAGGCCTGTGCCACCTGATCGGGTATACACCAGCCACAGGAAGCTATTTAATTTGAAATTAATTACAATTAAAAAATTAAAAACTCAGTTCCTCAGTCACACTAACCACATTTCAGGTGCTCAATTGCCATACATGTCTGGTGGCTACCGTACGGTACAGCACAGAAAAAGAACATTTTCATCATTGCTGGAAGTTTACCCAGTGTCTGGCTGGCAGGGGGAATTGGGCGCTCCTGAGGGGCTAGGGCCACAAAAAGGTAACATGCGCCAGTTCAGATAATACATAATTGCTGCTCTATTAAATCTTGGATCAATAAGAGAATAATGAGCCTTTCCCCCTTATGGGTTTGGTCTTTGTTCCCAGGTTCCAACACAGAAAATTAAGCAGGTGGTATTTTAAAAAGCCAGTGAGAGAGAAGGCAAGCCAGCCACTCCAGCAACTCCGTGCAAACAGAGCACTTCACGATCTGCGCCAAGGACAGCCCCAGTGCCCAGGGGTGGCCATTTGCTTCCCTGCCTGAGACGGGCTTCCTTTGAGCAGAACTGCCCTGGGCAAGTGAGTAATGGCTTCCTGGGCTTGTGCCTCGTGCATCTTGCAGCCTGGAACTGTGTCTGAGTGTTAACCAAAGAGAACCTAGCTTCTGGGCTTGACTCGGAACAGAAGTGACAAAACTCCAGGCCTTCAGACCACACGTCCTCTTTGCTCACTTTTGTCTCAGGCCCTCTGCGCATTCCCTTCCAAATGCATATCCCACCCTGCAGAACACAGGGAACGGGATGGCTCAGGGATGAGCCCATAGGACACAGGCTTTGGGGCAGGAGAGAGTGGAGTGTGCCATTTACAGGCAATCTCGGACTTGGCACTTAACATTCTGAGCCTCATTTCCTCATCTATAAATTGGTGGTAACAGGCAGACCTGTGCCATAGTTGGGAGGATCAAGAGGGACAATTCACAAAAGTGCTTGGCACAATACAAGGTAAAGAGCAGGCCACAGCTGCAGTCCTTTGCCAGCACGTCGCCTCAGTGAAGGACGCAACATCTGTCAGGTGTACACACCAAAACCCAGCAGTCATCCTCGATTCTCACTGTCCCTTACCCCCACCCAAATAATCCATCTCCACGAGCTCCGAATCTCTCTCGGACCTGTCAGCTCCCCTCCGTCACCCCTCCCTGATCCATGCTGCCACTGCCTGTGCCTGGCCTGTGCCACAGCCACCCAGCAGGTCTCCCCACCCCCACTCTGGACAGACTCCAACTGGTTCCCGACACAGCAGCCAGACTTATCTTTTCAAGACGCAAATCTAATCATGTCATTTCTCCCATCCCTGCCAGCTTAAAAGCCTTCAGAGGTTTCCTGTTGCTCTTAGATGAAGACCGTCCCCTTCACGTGATGTCTGTTCAGGCTGGACCTTGCCTCCCTGCTGGCCTCAGCTAGCACCTGTTTCCTGAACTCCGGCTGTGTTGGCCTTCCTTCGGTCCCTGGTCCCTGCTTTGCTTCTGCCACAGGACCTTTGCATGTGCTGCTCCCTCTGTCCAGGATGCACTGGGTTACATTGCCTCCTCATTAAACTCTGCATCCTTCAGACTTCAGCAAAAGTGCCGCTTCTTCAAGGAAGCCTTCCCTGACTTCTCACCCAGCTGGAGCTTCTTGCCTCTTCTCCACTGTCAAGTTGCTATTTTATCCTTAGTTATGTGGCTATGCGACTACTGTCACTTTTCCCACTGGACTGTCAGTTCCCCAAGAGCAGAAACCATGTCTATTTCTGTTCGCCCTCCAGTTCCCAGTGCCTGGCACAACTATTTGCAGAATAAACAAATGGGAGCTACTTTTAGCATTATGATCGAGAAGGCAAGATATGGTCTCTCCTGGAATATG